CAAATGAATATCAAACACATAATGAAAAGGGAGAATGAAGGTGATAAAATTATGTCAAAAGAATGTTAGCGCAAGATAGAGAGAAGCAGAGAGAGACAGTTGTACCAGCAGCAGATAACAAGATGAATGTTTATGATGATATAGAGGGGTCAGAAAGGTGAAGAGTCAGCAGTACTAACCGGTAACACCCTGGGCAGCTAGTTTCTAGGTAATAGCCTACAATTATGATTCCTATCTGCTTGAAAGGAAAAAGACCAAAATCTCTATAATAATTTGTCTTGATTATGTTTTTTTTTTATTCAAACCAGTAATAAAGTGTGACAATAACATCATAAAATGAGCTTTAGTACAAATTTGTAATATTGACCGTCTCCTCCTTATACTGTCTCTGCATTAGTCTAACTAAATTGCATTATGACTATCTTCCAGTAGCTTGCCGAGTAACTTCCACACTGCTTGACAGGCGCCTCAACGATAGTCCATACTGTATGAAAACTGTTATTCTTTTTACTTGGAACAGAATGGCTCAGTGGGGTGAGGAGAGAGTTGTCTTGTTTGGGCAGGGACACGGAAAATCCCCTAAACACCCATTAACTCATGACTCTAAAATGTCTGTCAGACAAACATTTCACAAATTATGAAATATGGAACGTTGGCCTACTGTGCTAAAGTAGACAAATGATTAGAATACTCTTTGTCCTACAAAACATTGCAACACATCCATGAAGCATGCAAATCAGACATGTATGTAATTATCTAATGGTTGGATTTGCATGCCATTGGTGAGCAGACATGGCTCTGATGAGTTCAGTACTTTGCATATGACATGTATTAGGCCTGAAACATATGTTATGCAAGTGCATGAATGTAAACACTTCTACAGTGACTACTAAAGCTTGATTTCACACGACCAGAACACAATTCACACATTCTTAGCATTGCTACAAAGGGTGCCATAGTTGACATTATCATTAACTGTTTTTGAGAGTCAATTTTCCAAACAAACTTCAAAAGAATTAGCGGTGATGACTTTGGTGTTGCCTCAGGTCACCGGCCCGGCATATGGGCAAAAAAAGTTGAGCTTACAGCCAACAGCCAATTAACCTACATTCTGCACTTGCATGAGAAGAAATAACTCTCCTTACCAGCAGGTGGCAGTAGTCTGTATTCATTATTCAAAAAGGGAAACCCAGAAGAGCTTGGACTTTGAAAATGAAAATTAAGCCTTCTTGCTTTTGTCAATTTTGTTTTTCTTCACATGCATTGGTTCGCTAAGCACAACACCAAATCAGAGCGATCTCTCTCACAAATGGACTTTGCTGCCAATTCAACATGCTCAATCAGCCAAAAAGCCACCAACAGGGCTCACACTATTTCAATGGAGTGGAACACACTGCAAAAACTAGGCCAACAGCTGATCACAACAGCCCGATATTGTCCAACCGTCACAGTCTTTAAATCAATTACTGTTATGACGGAAGAACTAGTCACTTGATTTACCAAAGTTTTGCAGGTTTGTGTCATTAAATCTTTGAAAGATATTCAAATTTTAGTTTGAATTTGGTTTCTTTGATGAACGTAAATGAGATATCCACTATCAAAAATATATATTTCGCTTTATATCTGTGCAATAATCTATACTCATTAATTTTGGATGGACAGAATATGTTCTTGGCCAAAAAAAACAAAACAAAAAAAACTGTAATAGAACACAACTGATGGCGAAGTCAAAATTCTGGCAACTCGAAACATAACACAAGAATGCACATTGTATGGGACGAACATACATTGTGTTCAAAGGATGAACACCCGGTGTTATAAACAGTGACATGTAAGACTAGTCTTGCATATTTAGTTTACCCCAAAATGGGCCAGTAGTATTTGCACAGTCACTTAACTTCTGCTGCTTGACATCACGAAGTAAGGATCATTATGAAATTAATATTAGCCATAGAAGAGGTGCAGATTTTGCAATAAAAAGACTGCAACAATTAACGCAACCTGTAGTAAATTACATGCTATTTTCTTATGTTTTATATTCAGAATCGTACGAGAATCATAATCTCTATTTGAAACAAATGAAAATTGTGATTCTCAGTTTATCCAGAATTGTGCAGCTCTGCTCCTGTGTGTCACTGACTGTGACAGGCAAATGGTAATTTTGAGCTCTGACCGAGGGGGGTAACAATCATTTCAGAAGTGAGGGGGACAGAAATGTCAAATATAATAATACTTTTTTTGTCTAATTGACAGGTTTTATTATTGTTGTTGTTGTTGTTTTCCTATCTCTTACTTTTAATTGGCTGAGAAATCAAATACACTGCTGGACAATAACCAATAATTTGTATTCTATAATATTTTCCCTATATTTTCCTAATGACAATTTGTTGCAATGATTTGTTTATCACTTTTAAAAACTGATAAAACACTTTTTCCATTTTTATCACAGAATAAGGCAGAAGATATATTTTATAGTTTCTATAGCCAACTGTAATAAATGCTATGTCAATTAGCACTGCATTGTTCAAATGCTTTTTTTTTTGCCTTGGAAATGACTTAATAAAAACACACATAAACCATATATTTTCACAATCGTGAGTTTATTGTCTTCACGTTTCATCAGTCAAAGCATTTATTTTTATTCAACTTAGCTACAGCAGAGATTGCTTTGGCCACGATAGCTGGATGCCTTTATCCATATTAGGGATTTCCTGGCACGTCATAGTTATTACTTCAAGAGTCAGTTTTGGACTTTCACTCAGGCTTTGAGTATGAATGAATCACACTGCATGGCAATGTTTACGCCTCGGTCACTGTCTTTACTGGGTGTTTTCAGGGAATATTTGCATTTATTCACATGCGATAGGATTAGTTACTCATGTGCTAGACTGTCATGATTTTGGCTAATGCAGGACACTACAGATTGATGTACATCAGAGGGGATTTAGAAGTGGGTATCCGCAATGCTGACTGAATAAGAAGTGGGAATATGCTGTATACCTGCATATGCCCTGCATTATACCTCTGCTTGCAGGTTTTCGCATCTGTATTTGCATACTTCACTATGTTTCTGGCCTTATCATGTTGAATCACCCAAATAATCTAAGACGAGGGAGTAAGTAATTGAATGAATGAAAAGAGTGGAATTTGATCTTCCTAAACTTGCAAAATAATAACAGGGTGGAATTGTGATGGACCCTCCCTCTCTGATGAGTGAAGGAAGGATGTTCGGAAGAGTAATTAGTGAATTGTGTGTGCGTGGGTCGGGAAGCTCCAGCCTCTTCTGACTCACTGTGTGGAAACTCTGAATGTTCTTGCACCACTGTGCAAAGCTGCAAGCTATTACACATTTCACTATACAGCCAAAAAAAAAAAGAACTCTAACTACAGACAGACTGTCTGAGTAACTCTCTCTGACTATTTTTGCATGAAGCTACCCTTTTTCTTGCTTTTCCCACTCCCCTCTACTCTGTCCTTAGCCTCTGTTCTTCCATTCCCTCTTTCCCTATAACAAACCACTCCCACCCTTTTAAAATAGTCTCTGGATTTTGCTTGTGGTATTTTCCATCTCTGAGAAAAAGAAAGAAACCTTCTCTACATTAATCCCGCATGACTGCCATGTAGGAGAGAGAATGCATGTAAAAACATGTCAGTGTTCGTTTATTCTGCGACCATCAAACAGAATCCTGCTTTTTAAGGCAGCAGGTAGCCCAGCTGAGGCAACTGTAGTAGTAACACAGTGCATGCAGATATAAAAAAAATGTACATCAGTTCACACTAGAAAAGCTTTACATGATTGATTAAAAAAGTATTTGTTTACCTTTAAATGTATACATGTTATTGCATTAGATAATAACATGTCATATGTACAAGATGCTGCTAGAGCTTCTTCTCAAAACTCTTTTCTTCATAATTTTTGATCAATGGCTTTTAATCATATGGTGATTTTAGTAGATGTATATATAAAGTGAACCCTTCTCAGGTTCACACAGGTCTCCTAGCAGAGTAACCAGAGGTGTCATTTTGTACATTAAATATGAACATTTCACTAAAAACATGATCCAAACATCTTAATATTAATATTAATTCTACACTTAATTTTAATAAGAATGGGGCCCAATGCATGCAAATGTCTGTGATCTTAACAGAAAAGGTAATGATAATTTTTTACCAGGACATTATCTTTTTTTTTCTACAGATTTTTTCCTCCAGTGTAACGGTAGGCCTATATGTGATATTTTAGACTCAAACTTCTTTTTGTTGAATGTTGCACTTAAAAAGTGTGCTTTGATATTTTGTTATGTAATGCAATGACATTCCATTTTAAGTAAGCAAACACTTTTTAGGGCCACTGCAAATGCTTATATTTATTAATGGTATTATGTAGCCTACTCATTTTTACCAAGGCCACACCCTACAATTATGACTGTGACATGTGATGTACCCTGAATATTTCATATTGCACTCATTGTGTATACAAATGTATAATGCAAATCACCTTTACAAAAAACATTTGTGTAAAATATCTATGTAATTTATGAATAGAAAGAAAAAACACCAACACAATTTCTTCAATTTCTCAAACGTTTCTCCTAGACACCAATAACATTAAATGGAGCTTTTTTTCTCTTGAGAAAAAGACAACAGAAATCTTGCATCTTAACTCAAGTTTCAGAAGAGATCTCAACCTGTGCTCAGATTTACAAAGAAACTGGAATCTGAAGTCAGAAGTGAAGTCATTGTGAAATAAGGGATTTCAATATGAACGCTTCTTATTAAGTGCCTCCGAGATCTAAGCTATTCTGTCTACATTTTATGGATATATACTCATACTGCATGTCAACAATTGTCTCAGTTGTGTCCATTTTTACTTATATAGAGAATTAAAAAAACAAAAAACATCTGAGACAAAGTTGATATTTCAATGAAATGTAACTAAGCTATGAAACCTGATCAAACTCTAAGCAATCCTAACTGTCCTCTGTGTGCACACTCCTCACCTGGTAGATCATGACTTTGAAGTTTCTTCTCTTCAGAAGTTCATTTTCGTTGCTCTCCAGGCGTTTGATCTGCCCGGCCTGTTTTTCTAGGTTCCCCCGCACCGTCTTCACATTCACACTGACTTTCCGCACCTTCTCCAGCATCTTATTGACCGTGTTGGCTGTGGTGGTGTGGTTTTTGGACAGTTTGGTGAGCTCCCCCTGGATGCCCGTTACCGATCTCTCCATGTCCCGTTGACGGACTTCCAGCCCGGCCTGCGTCTGCTGGATCTGGTCCACGGCCCCAATGATTTTGTCCAGCAGCGCCAGGACCATGACTCCATTCATCTCACCTTTGTCTCCCTCACCTGCCTCTTCTTTCTCATCAGCAACTTTTGCTTTGTTTTCAGCGATGACCTCGTCTTCTTCATCAGAGGCTGGGAGGTTGATTTCATCTTCTGAGATCTCAGTAAGGGATCTGTGTGGGTCAGGCACCTCCAGGTGCAGATGGCTGTCTTTAATCACTTCCATGTTTGAAAGCTTGAATATGTGGTAAAATAACGTGGAATGTGAAAGGATACAAGCAGTGGAAAGTTCTGTGTCCTAACTCGCCTTTCTTTCTGCTCTCAGGATTCCCCTCTAGAGTTCACCTAACTGTTCCCTCCTCTGTCACACTCAGCACATCTGCTCTCCTCTCTCTCTTTCTCTCTCTGAGTGTGTTTGGGATCTGGCCAGAGCAGTGGAGGCTGGCAAGCAGGCTGTGGATGGTCTGTACTGCATGAGCGCTGGGTCGTGAATGCCACACTTTCCTGTGAAACCCTCCAGACAAATCAGCTGCGTGCCAGCTGCCTTCCTCTTACCCACTGACACTCCCCCTGCACACTGTGTGTGTGTGTGTGTGTGTGTTGGAGAGCAGTGCTCCACCCAGTGGCCTGCATTGGGACCCCATTGTGGAAAAAAAACACAAATGAGATCTCTGTGGAGATTAACTTTTCCCACTGTCAAAACAGTTTACATTTAAAGATGAAGAATCCAGTTATATCAGTGGTATAACAAATAACCAGACTGAAATCATATGACAAAATGGGGATTCCATTGTGAAAAAGAAGATCATGTTAAGCATTCTTTTAAAAGAGTATTTAAAACAGAAATAATATACTTAAGTGCAAACTGAATGTATTGTTTTCAGATACTTAATTGCATGTTAAAAATAAAATTGATTATAGTTTACATTTATATAAAATGCAGTTTGACCCACCTAAGCAGGACTTAAATACATCTTTATATATCATTTCATAATTACTTCTATTGTCTTTGAAATATGGTTAAAGTGCTCCGCTAAATGTAGTGACAAGCATTTATAGTAAACTAAAATATATTCAAATGTCATTTCTATTGATACTTTTATGTCATATATGTAAATATATTTGTAATTAAGATGTTGCAATTTTGTAGAGCCAGTATAATATTTAGTATAAAGTATTTTACATGTATATTTTTATATACTATTTTTTATATTTTTAGTTTGCCATAAATGCTTGTCAGTATATTTTGCAGTAAACTTTAAGCCTATTTCAGAATTATGAAATTACTTATAAAAAATTTACTAAAGTCCTAATTTAACATAGTTCAACTAATTGCATTTAGTACAAATTTAAACTATAATACATTTTCATTTAATTGTAAATAATATGCAATTGTTCAAAAACATTACATTCAATTCACACTGTAGTATATTATTTCTGTAATAAAGACTGTAATAAGTCAATGATCTTTGCACATTAATTTTATAGTTCTAAATTCCTATTGTATATAAATAACTGTCTCATTTGTGTCTACTTTTATACCTCCAGATGAACTCTCAGAGAAAGGTGATACTTATATGTCACATTTCCAAACTCCATTAGATCTTTTGAGCAAGCTCTGAGTAATTTTTTTTCCCCTTGTGGATAGTGCTGTATATGTGTGAAGATAACATGAGGTTCTGGAGAGTGTAACCGTATTAGACAGGCACAGACACAGCGAGAGCTGGAATGTGATCCAGACCTACAAGGTTTTTAAGTTCCCCAAAGGCCCATTGTTCCCATGCAGCACACCAAAGCCACCCAAAGGGAAGAGTTTACAAAAATAACTTAAGCTCTTATGCACATGGGCTGCTCTTATGCCTGCATGTGTACACATGTGTGAGTCTGTGTATTATTACAGCTCATCTCTCACTGATAGAATGCTGCTGTTTACAGTTTTAGAGAGAATAATGTAATATTCAGTGGAGATTGATTGACGATAACATTATTGTATTTCCAGTGGAATGGAAAAAATGGTTTTGTAGATCTGGACTCCAAAAATGAGCCTCTCAATATCAGAGAGTATATCCACCATCTTCAGAGCTTTGAGTGTCCAGGTGATAAATGAAGTTCTAAATAAACTAAAGCTAGAATATATAATATAAGCTATAGATGGGTAGTTGACAAATAGGCAGTATAATGACTTATCTTATTTAGTATTTTTATCTTGTTTCTAGTCAAAATATCTATTTTTTTTTTAATCAAGTTACTTTAGATAAGCCAAGTGACTTAAGATATTTAGTCTTGTTTCCAGGGGGAAAAAACTAAATTAAGTGCATTTTGCTTAAAACAAGTAAAATTATCTGCCAGTGGGGTAAGTAAAATACATTTTGTTGCTTTGCAGCCTGAAATGAAGACGGACACAGTTTTTGTTTTATCCAGCTGTATTTACTCAGTGCAACTTATAATAATTTAATAACAATTTATGCATTTAGCAGACGCTTTTATCCAAAGCGACTTACAGTGCATTCAGGCTATACATCTTTTGACCAGTATAACTTATAAAATCCAAGTGAAAGATATAACACCAACATGTATTTCCGTGTCCTCTCTCCCAATCATTTCTCTCCCTCAATTCTTTCTGTCTCAAAAACAAAATATCACATTTTATACCTAATTTCATGACACTTTATAACAGTGCAAAAACATCAGAAAATATTTTAACTAATGCAATTATTGCATATAAGAACACTGAAAATGATATTAAAAAAAAAAGAATAACAAGGAGATAAACACATCTTATTTAATTATTTAAAATGCTTCTTAAAGAGACCTTGTCCTCTTGTGTGACATCTTTGTCTTCTGGTGTGACAGTACAGGTGTCACACTGGTGGACATTATCTGTCACACCAAAGGATGTTTCAGCCTTTTGTGTTAGTTTATGACCTTGCTAGTCCTAGCTAACCTAGCTAATCATTAGCAGTTAGCAAGACACATTTTCCATGATTATGTAGTTTAACATTCAGTTTTAAATTAAAAATATATATAATTTAGGGGTGTCGCACCAAAGGACAACAAAAATGTAACACTTTTATAGTGGTTCCAAAAAAAGTTAAATATTGTTGTCAGTGGAATTGCCCGATTTCAAATCCCGAACATGGTGTCACACTGGAGGACATGGTTTTCAGTGACAAAATGTACCAAGTTCCTACGCTTTTAGAATTATATGAATGTAAAAAATGATTGTCGTTACTAAAATAGACACTTGTAAAAATTATGCCAGAGGTATTTATTAAAATTTTTATGCTTTTCTTTTAAATTTATAAAAGTTGTAATTTATTTTATTATTTGTATATATATTTTTTACTTTAAATTATTGAAACATGTCATTTTAATGCCACCAGTATTTATAATTTATAAGAATTTATTTTTGTTCTTTATGATAATGTAATATTTCATAGTAGTATGGCATATGTAATATTATACATGTATTATATATTATATTTCTTAGATTATGTCTTATTTTTTATTATTTGTTATTCCTCAAACATAATATTAATATCACCAATGTTAATGTTATGTAATAACAAATAATATATTTTTATTGTTGTTGTTTAGTATATAATAGAATATTTAATGTAACTTATTAATATGACATATATAATACTTGTATACGTGTGGATAGGTGATAAATAGGCAGTAAAAAATGTTTTTTGTAAAAGACCATTTTTGAAGAAGAAATACATATATTTATGTAGTGTGAAGTCTGATGTTTGAGAAAATATAAGGGGTCACTAACTTTTCAATTTTCGTAAATTTTTTCACGTTTTTTTATTTTTACATTTTTACTGAACTGTACCGCAAATTTGTCCTATGGTGTGATATAGCAAAAATTAAGAAAAAAAAATTAATAATATACAAATAGCATGAGAGAGATTTATTTTAATTGTTAGACACTTATATTCATATAGTGTTATTTATTTAATATGAAATTATGAATAACATCCTTTTTTCCCTATGACTTGTTGGACATTTTCAAGACAAACTTTGACAACAAGACAAACTTCGCTGTCATCCGTTCAAAACTGCTGAAAATTAAACCATTTTCAGATGAGTGATGATTTTATCAACCCTACTGCAATACTCAAATGTTGTGTTGTTGTTGTTGTTTTTTTAAAAGATATTACGAGCTAAAACAAATCTGAGGTTCTTTTATGTGTCACACCATAGGACATTATGTCACACTAAAGGACAGAATTGGTAGTTACTGCATTAAAGAGAAGGTGAGAAGTATTACATTAACGAATTTCTATTTAAATTTGAACATGTCAAAGGAGAAAGAAACTTTAATATTGATACAAACAATATCATGTTTTTTTTTTTAATAATAATAATAATTTTAATCAACAAAATTCAAGGTGTGTCCCAAATCGCGTACTTATGCACTATTCTATGACGTTTTGTATAATAGTGCGAATAGTGCGTTCACACTGAAAATTCCAAAAAGAAAAAGTGCACAATTCATAGTGCGTCATTTGGGATGCAGCTTCAGTCATTTAGTCACTTAGTCAATCAGTATGTTACTGAAACTCTTCTAGATCCTCCCCGCTGCATGTGCGGCACAGCTAAATATGATTGATATTCAAACTATATTCATTAATGATTTTTTTAAAGTACATGGCTGTTTTTAGGCATCATTTCAATTCTATTTACTTTCTGCATTGCTCTCATCCCTTCTGCGTGGAGCTCTGTTAATTTTCGCTCTATACAGTGGGTATAGAGAAGTATCAACTCCTTTAAAATAATCACATTTTGTTGCTTTGCAGCCTGAAATGAAGACGGACACAGTTTTTGTTTTATCCAGCTGTATTTACTCAGTGCAACTTATAATAATTTAATAACAATTTATGCATTTAGCAGACGCTTTTATCCAAAGCGACTTACAGTGCATTCAGGCTATACATCTTTTGACCAGTATAACTTATAAAATCCAAGTGAAAGATATAACACCAACATGTATTTCCGTGTCCTCTCTCCCAATCATTTCTCTCCCTCAATTCTTTCTGTCTCAAAAACAAAATATCACATTTTATACCTAATTTCATGACACTTTATAACAGTGCAAAAACATCAGAAAATATTTTAACTAATGCAATTATTGCATATAAGAACACTGAAAATGATATAAAAAAAAGAATAACAAGGAGATAAACACATCTTATTTAATTATTTAAAATGCTTCTTAAAGAGACCTTGTCCTCTTGTGTGACATCTTTGTCTTCTGGTGTGACAGTACAGGTGTCACACTGGTGGACATCTCTATTAGTGCTATTGGATCTTAGCGCTGCGTTTGACACTATTGACCACAACATTCTTTTGCATAGACTAGAAAACTTTGTTGGCATTAATGGAAGTGCATTAGCATGGTTCAAATCGTACTTATCCAATAAAAGAAATGATGAATAAAAAACGTTTATTCTAAAAGATTTTTGTGATCAGTCATAAAGTTACAGCAACATTCACATTAAAGGGGTGATATGATGTTTTTTTAAAGATCATTATTTTGTGTATTTGGTGTAACAGAATATGTTGACATGCTTTAATGTTCAAAAAACACATTATTTTTCAAATACTGTACATTATTGTAGGTCCTCTATGCCCCGCCTCTCTCAAACGCTTCGTTTTCTACAAAGTCCCTCCTTCCGACAAGCGCAGTCTGCTCTGATTGGCCAGCTGACCCAGTGCATTGTGATTGGCCGAACACCGCAAGCACTCGTCGGAAATGTAACGCCCCTTACCATAATCGCGAGCTTCATCTTTCAAAATAAATGTAAAGACAGAGCCCGAAAGGGGAACAGAGTCGCGTGACAGACACAGTGATGAAGCTGGTATGTGTTTGCAGTACACAAGCCACGGACAGCTGACTCCACTGTGATGTGACCCTGTCTCTCTCTCACACACGCGCGCGTGCACGCACACACACATGATGCGCAAAACTCCGCATTTGAACAGTCAATAGCAAATACTTAAACTAATAACAAAACAGTAGCTGATTCAGAAGCGCCAGATTGTCATAGCAAAGTCAGAATTACCTCCTCTCCTAGGTTCACGAAACGGTCGTCCATAAAATGCATTGCTGTTCTGTTGTAAGTAATCTTAATGCATCTACTTTCGGAAGGCCAAATATAGTGCTTTTGCTTTCGCCTAGAAACACACAGTGTCTCCCTGACATGGCTGCTTCAACTCTAACTGCGGTTACTGAAACCACGCTTTCTTTCTTTGCGTGAACATTTGGGCGGCATTATGCAAATGTTTCCACATAGTGAGGTAGATATGTGGGGCGTGTTAGAACGAGCCGTTTTAGGGGGGCGTGGCAGAGTCTTAACTTTGATAAAGAATATCTCTTTGGTTTTGAGACTTTAGTCTTTGCAACTTCAGGGATCTTATCTATGCACAATCAGCTTGTAACACTCCAAAGAGAAAGGAAAACTTGAAATCGCATCATATGACCCCTTTAAAGTGGTTAAGCAAATAATATAATAATAATAATCGGCAGGGATCCCAGACCAATACAATTAGTGTGCCTCCTCTATTTTAAAACCCACGAACCGCCACTGTGTGGGGGGGTGAGGGTGTATACACAAGTGTGAATTGTTCAGTCATATGTAGGTTTCTCACCTCTGGTTCTTCAGTAGTTACCGACTCTAAATATATCCAGATTCATTACAGAGTCTGTGCTACATTTTTCTAAGGTCTGCACTCTCACCTCTCAGTGTTACACTGGCACACAAACTTGCATCATTCAGTCTATATCAGATAACTCTGAGTAAAAGTCTATAGGCTATGGCTAAATAATTCAATAATCTGGGACTGTACAGAAGCTTCATATAGCTTAATTCTTGATTTAAGATTTGAAAAAGTTATAAAATCTAAGTGAATTTACCATGGTTCCTAAAAAAATAGGATTCTGAGTTAGGATGTGTCTCTAATACAGCTTCTGGTAGCAAACTCGTTAGACACAGGGTCAATATTATCAAAAAGAAAATACTTATAAGAGCTCATAAAGCCTATCTCTCTTGTACTCCATGCTATCATAGTGCATAGCTTGTTATGCATTGATATTAATATTTATTAATATTTAAATCACAAATATTTCATTATAACAGTACATGTTTTGTAAATGGCCTATGGATTCTTTTTTGAAAGGCTGAAGCATGGATGGATTTATTACCACCTATCTATATCCAGTGTTGGGAGTAATGCATTACAAAAGTAATAATATTACAGTAGTATATTACTTTTTGCTGTAACGCAGTAATATAATGCATTACTAATACAATTTGGGTAATATTATTACTCGTTACAATCTCAGTAACGCAAGGTACAACAACATATTTTAACTCAAAATTAAGTGGTGAATTTACTAACACTGCAAAACAGCACCAGAGAAAAAATTCCACGGGTAAAATAGTTTGTCTATCTTCTGTTGCTGGAATTAGATGGTTGAGATGACGTAACTCAAAAGTAGTGTAACGCATTACAATTCAGAGACAGTAATATTGTAACGTAACTGATTACTTTCAAAAGACAGTAACTAGTAATATATAATGTATTACATTTTGGAAGTAACTTGCCCAACTCTGTCTATATCTATGAGACCATCATATTATCATGTTTTATGTATATTATAAACATGTTTGTACGTTTTTTTTAATGAAATGTAATAAAATATCACCCATCCAAAATTAAACATAGTAAAATTAAGAATAATCTTTTTTTTTTTTTTTTTTTCCAACCTGTGGGACATACTACAGAATTATCTTTTGTTCCCAAAAGTAGAAGTATTGGTTTTAATGGATGAACACGTTAACAAGAACAACCAACAACAAAAAATAAAAAGTTTAAACCAATATATGAACATTGTTCATAGTAAAAAAAAAATAAAAAAAAATTTATATATATAT